TCTCACCCCGGTTGGGGACGTCTGCAGGAAGAGTTTACAGATGGATTTTCCTTCTTTCCTCAGTGGGGAACAAGAATGACGACCCTTCCAAGAAGCAGGTGGATGCCCAGGATGCTTTGCGTTTTGGGGAGTCGGTGGGTGTCCGTGTCTTCGAGACGAGTGCCAAAGAGAACATAAATGTTGAAGAGGTGAAGCTTTAAATGATTAACATGCTCTGATTTAAAATGATTTTTTTGGTGTGCATTTGTCCCATTAAAAGGTCCAAAGCTTTTGTTCCTAATGTTTTGTCTGTAAGGTTGGTGTTGAAATGACAGGCAGGTAAATTAGAGCGTGGTGTAGTTCTCAGTGTGACCTGATGGGGGCAGTGTCCTTTCACTGCTGTCAGTGTCTCATAATGATGGGGCTTCAGGTTTAATGCAGTGGTTTCCTCCATACTGGATGATCAGCCCTGCAGATGAAGATGCACCTCAGGTTCATCATCACATTATTACACTGCAGAGGGCAGCGATGAGGAGGAGGCGTCTGTTTAGTCTCCATTTGAGCTGAAAGACGGAGACTTTGGTAACAGCAGAGATGGCGGTTCGTCCTCAGTCCCGCTGATAGAAATGCTGGTGAACCACCAGCAGGGACACTGACTGATCTCAGATATATTCATGATGGAAAGCTCAGACTACTCGTGTTTTAATAACCAAGACTAAAGTCATATGTGACTGTGCTTCCTGTTGTTACTATCATGAGTATTTGCTTTATTATTTTTAAAGTGTCTTCAGTGACACGAACAGTTTCATGCACGGTTTCGCTGCTGTTTGAGTTTCGGGGAGTGGGACACGGGGCCGCGTTAGATAATCCTGAAGTCTGTGTTTCTGCTGCTCTGCTCAGATGTTCATGGCCTTCACCCTCATGGTGCTCCGGGCCAAGAAGGAGAGCCAGAACAGAGTGGAGAGGGAGCGGGAACGGGAGAAGGACACGGTGAACATCAACGCCCAGCGAGACCGAGACCGCAGGAAGAGGGGGAAGAAATGCTGCTGAGACGCCGCTTCCGCCCACAGCATTCGGCTGAGACTGAACTCTGTGCCTTCGAGGCCGTCTCTCACTGCAGATATGAATGTGTGGAGCTACAGCACAGCAGGCTGTAGCTCTCGCTGTGCCTGAGGGTCTACAGTCGGCCAGCACTGAATGCAAGTAGCAGCCAGGAGGTCACATGACCTAAAGGATCATTCTGGTGTTTATGCTTTTTTTAAATTTTCTAACCAGACCGCAGGTTTCATGTGTGTTGGACTGAAGCTAAAGAGCGACTAATGTGCAGGTTGGTTTGTGGATGCTAACCAGAAGAAACATTTTGTGTGACGTTTATTCAAACGAGGGGATTCCTGAGCTCGCCTTAAATGACTCGTTTCAGT